CATCATGGTGGGGAGCGTGGGGTGGGACACAGTTGCTTTCCTCATGGTATCCAGAAAGCAGAAGGGAGACAGGGAGGGGCCAGGGTCCAATATTTGCTTCAAGGGCCAGCCCTCCATGATCCATGTTCCTCCCAATAGGCTTCACGTCCTAAAGGTCTCCTCTCCTCCCCACAGTGCCACAGGCTGGACATGAGTCCTTCAACACCTGGGCACCAGGCATTCCAGACCCCAACATCACACTGTGCTAAACCAGGCTGTGCCCTGTTGAGATCCAACTCGCCGTTTTCCCCTGAAGACCCATTCAGAAATGCAAATGTTTGTGTGACAGGTGACAGTACGTGGTTCCCTTACTCATGATGTCCATGCCATCTATACGTATGGAGGTAAATCAGCAAAATGCAAACAGCACATTCCATATCAGAACTTTACCAAAACACAATGTATATAGAAAGGGCACGGGGGGGGGGTGCCCACCTGTCATCCAGCAGCTTGGGAGGCTGAGGCAGGAGGATTGCAAGTTGGAGGCCAGCCTTGGCAACACAGTGAGGCCCTCAGGAACTCACTGAGACCCTGTCTCTAAATAAAATATAGAATAGGGCTACGGATGGGGCTCAGTGGTCGAGTGCCTCTGAGTTCAATCTCCAGTCTCCCTCCCCCAAAGAGCATGTATATGTATGTGTGTGGGTACATATTTATGTATGTGAGTGTGATCTGCTATTTACATATAGATTATACACGTACACATCACGTGTGTTCTATATGGTGTATACATACACATACTACGTGCATATACATACATGCTCTGATGAACTGTTCTGCAGCCAGTGGCATTAGCTGATCTTACCAGAACGTATTCCTGCCTGAATAACTGCAGCAGGTGCACATGGAGAAGCCCCTCATCAGCCTGTGCAGGTGGAGGACGGCTTTACAGGTGACGTCGTCCCAGAATCTCCAGAGAGACATAAAGACGTGGGTAGCTATGACGCCCATGACGGTCAGCAGCAGCAGGTGGGTCAGGGCCAGGAGAGCCATGGGCAGGTCCGTGGGCTGGGGCCTGTGCCCGAGAAGGAACGAGAAAACATGGAAGA